CTTTCCTTGCTTACACTATTTCCTTTGGAACGAATCATTTAGAAGAAACAAAAAAAAATAATTATGAGAATTAATGCTTAAGGTGGACAATATCTAAACCTTTTGAAGAAATCAAAAGCAAAGTCCCTTGTCCATAAAAGTTATCGTAGTGAATGGAAGAGGAACAAGAGAAATTAATGGGGCCAGGTGCAAATACAACCAATAAAATTATAACACGTGTTTAAAACACTTGAATTTCGAAAACTGCAATGCTGACTTGTAAACTTCTTATTGGCTGCCGCACTAACACTCGTTCTACAAAAAAAACCAGAAGCCATAAAAAGAACGAACTCTTCAAAAATTCTGGAGGGTTTATCAGTGTCTGCGCGCGCGTTCATTTGTCGAGAGGTTTCTACCTTGATCCATAAAACGAGCGAGAGAGAATGAAAAGTGATCGATCGCCGATTTTAACGGTTTTAGTTTTCGTCTTCTTCCTTGCTTTCGATTTCAGCGACGCACTGTATGGGGCATCGTCTCCCGTTCTTCAACTAACTCCTTCCAACTTCAAGTCGAAGGTCTGTTTCCAATCTCCATTTCATTTCCTTTCCATTTTGTATGTCTTAGAGAATTATTCTATCTAGCATTCTTCTTTTTTGTTGCTTCTTGAATTCTCTCTGAGAAATCGCACTCGGTGATATCTCTGTGGATGTCTTTTTATTTCGGAAATTATCGATTGAATATTTTTTTTTTCATTTTTTTATCGCAATTTAAATGTGTTTTCGAGTGCTATTTAGTGTTTTTGAGGTTCAGAAATTGTCGATTGAATATATTTTTTTTTTCATTTTTTTTATCGCAATTGAAATGTGTTTTCGAGTGCTATTTAGTGTTTCTGAGGTTCGGAAATATTTGGTGTCTTTCTTTATTGTTGTCTATTTTCAGATTTGGACGATCTCACTATTTATACGTTAGTCGAATTATCCATCATCTATGTGATATCGTTTGGAATCGGATGGGAATGGTAATTGTACGAGATAAGGTTTTGATCAAATCGGCGTAGCGATCTGTTTCCTTTTTTTTTTTTCTTTGCTAGATGCAGTTATTAGTTTATTATTATTATTCTGACTTTGTTTTCCTCATTTCTACCGTAATCCGATGTCATAATTCTGGAAATCCGTTTAGTTTTCAAGTTATATGTCCTGCATTTGCATATTTGAACTTTATAATGTAAATTTTGCGATGTAATAGGTTTTGAACTCAAATGGCATCGTTCTAGTCGAGTTTTTTGCACCTTGGTGCGGTCATTGCCAAGCTCTCACCCCTGTATGGGAGAAGGCGGCTACCGTTTTGAAAGGAGTTGCTACAGTAGCAGCACTTGATGCAGACGCGCACAAGTCACTTGCTCAGGTACATTATTAATATTGTAATCAACGTCATTCAGTAGTTATTTCATAATCTCTTTCGCATTGCTAGCATTTTTTTGTTCACCTCTTTTCATCAATAAACTTCCATCTCAAACGTGCGATTGTTAATTACTCTCCAGAGAACTAGCCTGTGCTCTGCTAGAAGTGATGTCGCTTATGTTAATTCTAACCACGTGAATCTATTTGGTGGAGTCATTCCTATCTGTAAATCAAAGTCGGTTGCTACATTTTTAAAGTTGAACCTATTACTTTACTTCTCACTGTTAAATTGTTTGGAATAGATGGAGTTTGATGCTGTGTTACTCAACCTGTCTTGTCTTTTCGTATTCATGGCTTTCCTAGAAAGAGGAAAAGGCTATAAAAACTGAGAGGCGCTGAAGATCGATGCTGCATTTTCCATGATTTTTTCCTTCGAATTTTGGGAACTTTTCCTGTTCTATGAATGCACATGGTTATTATTGTTTGTACACTTTGAGCATGGATACAATGCAAGGGTTCTCTAGTTGAAAATGACTGCTAAAATGTTAAAGCGGTCACTCTGTGAATCGCTGTGCATCTTCTCTTTCTTGAATGATATACTTGCATTGATGTTTAAAATATTAGCAAGAGTTTGGATATGAATTGAGAGACTTCAGTTAGGCCTATCTTCTCACCCCAGGACCATAGTGTTACTTCTCGTGCCTTTTTATCGCAAGTTCTAATTATGAAACACCTCTTTTTCACTATGCTCCCCTCAATTTCCCTATATTCAGTATGTCGTTGCTTATTTCTGCAGGAATATGGGATTAGAGGATTCCCAACCATAAAAGTCTTTGCACCTGGAAATCCTCCGGTAGACTACCAAGGAGCTCGGGATGTTAAACCCATTGCAGAATTTGCTCTGCAACAGGTTCGCATCGTAACATTTTGGGAGAACGTTCATTTAGAGCATTAACTTTCTTTTCTTCCTTTTGTTTTTGGCTTTTTCATTAGCTAGATAACATCGTAAAATATCATTCGATATTGTTTTACAATTGTGCAAATACTTATTACATTCCTCAGACATTCACTTGATACATTGCATTCGTTTTCTTTTCTTCTCAGGTAAAGGCTCTTTTAAAGGAACGTCTAAGTGGAAAAACAGCTGGGGGAGGGTCAAATGAGAAAGCAGAACCCAGTGCTTCAGAAGAATTGAATTCTCGCAACTTCGATGAGTTAGTGATAAAAAGTAAAGATCTCTGGATTGTGGAGTTCTTTGCTCCTTGGTAAGGACTTATTATTTTGTATTATAGAGTTTGATTATATTTTATATTTTTCCAGGTTTGATAATTTCATTGTTCGAATTTATCTTACAAGGTGTGGACACTGTAAACGACTGGCTCCAGAATGGAAGAAGGCTGCCGAAAATTTGAAGGGGAAGGTGAAGTTGGGTCACGTAGACTGTGATGCCGAGAAGGTTAGTCAAATTTCAGCTAATACTTATTTGAGCAAGAAATATTTGAAACTTTATTGAATCTGTCGTATGTATATGAAAGTGTGATGCCAAAAAACACATAGCTAAGCGAGAGATGAGAAATGTGATTCTTCCGTTTCGTAACTACTCGATTGAGAAGTCTTGCCTAAGTCCTAGACTTGAGTGAACAGCCTGATTTAAAGTCTTATTTGTTTTTGCATTTCTTCTCTTGTGCTCTTTTCTTAGTTAGGCCGAAGAAAGTACAAGTTATAACTTTCTTACTACTACATATGGTAGCTAGAGACTAGAGATGAGTGTAGGATCTAGATTTGTAACAAATATTCGACTTTGCTTATGCTTGAAATATAATGTGCCCCACTATCAATATCTATCGTCAACTAATTGTAGATTTGTAGTGAGATTATGTGGTTCAAATTTATATAGTTGGCCTTATCGGGTCTGTTTGATCACTTGAATGATCATTTTGTCTATCACTTGACTTCGATTACCTGCCAGCCGGATGTTCGTTCCTTTTCTAATTGTAGTTGTACGGCTGACTGATTATTTAAAAGTTTTCAAGTAAAAATCGTATTATGCTAGTCCCTTAAAAGTACATTTAGAACATTATTGTACAGAAAAACATCCCGAGGAATGTACTGTTTGGAAGTGAGTTTTTAATTTTAATTTATTGTTATGGCCTTTTAGATAAAAAAATTAAGTGAAAACATATTTGATTTATTTTTATGGATGACCTATTTTTAGAAGCTCTTGAGTTTATTCTTTCATTGAAAATGAAGAATTTGTAAGTGAATGATACTTTCAACAGAAACTCGAGTCTTTGAGTCACTTGATTCGTGAAATCGTTGGACAGTCCTCTTTTCTATTTCCTATTCATTTTACTTCCAGTCTGAGTCTTAATTTACTTCCAATCTAATCGGCAACGGGGTTGCTGCCAGTCTCTAATGAGCAGGTTCAATGTTCAAGGATTCCCCACCATCTTGGTATTCGGTGCTGACAAGGACAGCCCAATTCCTTACGAGGGTGCAAGAACTGCGTCAGAAATTGAGTCATTTGCTTTAGAGCAGCTAGAGACGAATGTTGCACCCCCAGAAGTGACGGAGCTGACTGGTCCTGTAAGCTTTTTGCTTTATATGCTATGCTAATTGGTTTCAAAAATCGTTTAGTATTATACGCGCGGGAGTATGAATCTTATTATCTCACTCTTATAGGACGTCATGGAAGAGAAATGCGCGTCGGCTGCCATATGTTTTGTTGCTTTCCTGCCCGACGTTTTGGATACCAAGGCCGAAGGAAGGAACAGATACCTCGAGCAATTGTTGTCAGTTGCAGAGAAGTTCAGAAGAAGTCCCTACAGGTAACTGTGTATAAGAACACATACCCACTACCACATTCTTTAAAGTCAAATTCTTGACAACTGGATTTCAGTCTTCTATATATTAATGGTCTCAATAATAATAAATAATAATAATAATAAACAGACCATAGGAATCTGAATTAACTGTATATTACTCTGCCAGCTATGTTTGGGCTGCAGCTGGTAAGCAACCCGATCTCGAAAAGCATGTCGGAGTTGGTGGATATGGATACCCTGCTTTGGTAGCTTTGAATGTGAAGAAGGGAGCGTATGCTCCCCTGAAGAGCGCATTTGAGCTCGAACATATTATGTAAGTTACAACTTCACATTCCTTCCCACATCTTCAGAAATGTGTAAAATGAGATTTGAAATGATTGTTTTTTCATACAGCGAGTTTGTAAAAGAAGCTGGCCGTGGAGGAAAAGGAAACTTGCCACTAGAAAGCTCCCCAGATATTGTGAAGACAGAGCCATGGGATGGTAAAGATGGGGAGGTAATCGAAGAGGACGAGTTCTCGCTTGAAGAGCTCATGGGAGGTGAAAATGAGACTAACTAAAAGGATAAGCTATAAACAAATTGAAGCTTTAGCAGCAGTGAAGGAGAACTGAGTTAAAAGAGATGATGATCAACACAACGTAATGGGGCGGTTCACTGTTCGTGTTCCTAATGTTTTTTAAATTAAATGACACTCAGCACAACGTAATGGTTCACATTGTCACATTGCCATCACAAACATGAAATGAATAGCCTTTATTGTAAGTTCTATAAACAAAGCAAAACAAAAAAAAAAATATGGCGCTAAGTATGGTTCTTATCATCTCGGTGCTATGCTATCTAACAAACATGAAGTAAAATAATCAAAGATTTATGTTAATGTTCTCAAAGAAAAAAAAAGGGAAAAATAAAACGTATTCCTCCCCCCTTCCCCCACAAAAAGTAAAATAAATGCAACTATATCTCCAAATGCTTTTTTTTTTTTAAAAAAAAAAAAATTAATAAAGGGGAAGGAAATGGATCAATTTGTACGGAAGTGAAACTGTGACAAAACTTGTCTTCCATCGCCACTAACGACTGATCAGCACCAACCACCGCCGGAGAATTCGTTAAATAGTTAAGAGCATGTCTTCTCTATCCTCCATAAACATTCTTTCCTCAAGGGGGAATCGGCAAATATGGCCTTGATGACATCCTCAATCTGCAAAAGTGAAGAACTTTACGTTATAAACCTTTTGAGAATGCATGCTGATATTGAACTAGTAAATCTGCATATAATTAGATTCCGAACGGTCTTGTTGAACGTGGTTTAATCATGTAAACTTCAGCATAACACACAACTCGTCAAAGACATACCCTCGACTAAGAGATTAAAGGCTCAAATCACACACACACGTATATATACACACACACATGTTAGCAAAATAATTGAAAAAAATGTGTCACATACCTCGGATGCGGTAAACCCAGAGATGAGTAGTTCTCCAGTTTCCCATTCCGTTGTAATGGATACTAGAGGCATATCTAATAATTCTGCCAATGTTACAAGACAGCAACAATAGCTTATTAGTTTCAAACAAAGACTTGCTAATTATGAGCAGAAACTGAAAAAGCATGCGGCATGCCTGCGAGTTTACGGAGTTTCCTGAGGGATGGTATAAGAACATCAAGACTGTACAAGGAAGGCTCCTCCATTTTCTCTTGATGTTTGGTAGTCAGGGTCTCTAATAAAGATGACGTGCTGTCTAGCATCAAATGAATGAGTCTTTGAAGCTACAAACATAAAATTATCCATTAGGCAGCTTTATTCAAATACAAAGGTCAAAAGCTGATAAACGCTAATGCATATCTGATAATACCTCTAATGTTTCTTCTACAGCTATGTCATCCAAAAGAAGTATGTCTTTTGTGATTCTTGATAAAACCAACTCTAACACTGCAGACATGCATTTTCTGTACTTGGAAGGTAACAAGAGTGGCTCCCAGATAATATGTACTTTTTCAAGAATGAACACAACCTGATCCACAATAGTTAAACCCGTTAAAAGAAAAATAGATAAAGACATCTGCAAAAGGAATCGGTATACACTCAAAAATGATTCCATGAAGCATATAGTAGGTCCGTATGTCTGTTCAATGTTTACATAGGAGATTCGGCTCCAAAGGAATGGGGTTTCCATGAGATTGAGATGTCCCCTTGGATACAACGTAGCAGCTCACAGTTTCTGGAGCTCTCTCCCTAGAATTGCAGTACCATCTTTTCTAATTTTCCCATTGAACATTTCACTTTCTCAATAAAATTTGTTTTTCCTTATAAAAAAAAATGACGGAAGATGGCTTACACCTTGTTCGATAGAATATTATAAACCTCCCAATAGAAAAGGGAGGTCTCGGTTTTTTCTCGATAAAGAAGAAGAACAAAGCCCTTCTCACCAAATGAATATAGAGATATCATCATGAAGAAAAAGGCCAAATATACTCCTACTTCAAACAAAAATCAACCCACTCAATCTTTTATAAAAGGGCCTTGGAAGTACATAAAGAAACATCAAAACCTCATCACCAACCAAACTTGCCATAGGGTGGGTGATGGAGGACGCATATCATTTTGGACCGACCCATAGATTGAAAACACCACGCTAGCCCTGAGGTATCCATTTTTGTACTGGCTCTCACATAACAAAAAAGCCATGATCAAAGAAATTTGGAATGTTGTCAACAAATTTTGGGACCTGAAGCTTGGTAGAAATTTAAAGGATAATGAAGCAACGAAATGGGCCGAATTAAGCCTTGACCTTGCTCTGTCAAACAAAGCAGATTCACTGACTTCGTTCCAAAATCCTTGATGACGGACATGGGGGAAAAAGTAAAGCAATAAATCTCACGCTAGCAAAGACATTATGGAAAGGACATCAAGGTGAAGTTCTTTCTTTGGGAAATAGTGCATAAAGCCTAAGTGAAAATCTTCAAAAAAAAAAAAAAAAAAAAGAAATCTTCAATAAATCTCACACTAGCAAAGACATTATTGAAAGTCTTGTATCACTTTTTCTCCAAATTGGTGTCCATTATGCAAAAAAGAAAGCGAATCACAAAGTCACTTATTTATGCAATGCACATACACTTAGAATTTCTGAACACGATTCTCAATATTTTTGGGTAGCATCTCACAATTCCGAGGGAGGTAAAGGATCTATTGGACATGACCTTAACATACCACCCTTTTAAGAATGTAAAAGGCTTGCTATGGAAAAACTTCATCATGACTTTCTTCTAGAATGTGGAAAGAAAGAAATCAAAGAATATTCGCAAAAAAGACAGACTCATACAAAACTTTTCGACAATTTTGTTTAATACGCTATATCTTGGCATAAACGGTCTAATATTTTTACTTCCTATAGTTATACCTCCCTCATTGTAAATTGGAAAGGTCTTTTGTAACACCATGGATATTACGTCCCTTTTGTAAATTTCAATCATCAATGAAATTGTCTCTTAAAAAAAAAAAAAAAAAAAAAAAAACTATAGTACGGTTAAAAAGTTTGGAATGTTTCATTCACATAGTTATAACAACTGTAACTTCTAGGAATGACTTGGATGATTTAATTTACTGAACAAATACGTCAAGCTTTTGAGATTAATGGTAATTTAACATAATATCAAAGTATATCATCATAAGATCAAATCTCTACCATATTATTCTTTCTCTGATTTTAATACCAATAGTCCCTGCATTAAGACTTCGTAATCAAGCTAAAATCCATTTCATTTCCATCCTAGAGGAAAATGAACTATATAATTAAGTTAAACTAATTAGATGATTGAGATTTTGAGATTAATATTAAATTTATATTAAAAGAGAGGAGCAGCAAAGATTTTGCTACCTGATCTATGCTGAACTTGGCAGATTCAAATTGTTGCCTTCTATGTGTATTATGAAATCCATCTGCTCCATCTATAGCCTATTCCAGTGCAAACACAGTCAAAAGCAGCAAAGAAACATTGGTTTTAATCGGGAGAACTAATCACAATTTTCGAACAATGTGTTTCAATTAGCTTCAAACCTCGTTCAAGTGACAAGTTATAAGCTGAAGCTGTTTATGCATTGTTTCTTCTGCCATCTCATGAAACCTTGGAGCCATGTCAACAAAGACAGCATGTTCTTTTAGGAAATCTGGGAAGTCTGATCGATACTGAAACATGAGGAAAATCAGATCTGTTACATTGAGAACAGAAAGCTTCTAAACCTATTCGGAAAAAAAGGTCCCAAATTCTTTTCCTCCTAGCAAAGAATTTAAACCAAAATAAGAACGATAAGAAATCAAGAAAAAGAGAACATCCGTTCACTTAAAGGCTGGATTTGACCTTGAGTTGAGTTAGAGGGAGTGGGAGAGGACTTGATGATCTTTAAGAAATCATTTAACACATAAACAAGTCAGAATTACACAGTACCTCAAATGCAAGTCCAAGTATCTCCTGAGATAAATAAAGGCAGTCATTGTGCATGAGAACTGCAACATGATTGACTGCATCAAGCTGTCTTTCTAGCTTCACAAACAGCAAAGGTCATTATATAGTGATGGATATGAGGTAGTTTTTGAAAAAGTCTTGGGAATACTTCTATTTATTTAAACTCATATTTTATTGTATATATTGGATCATATAACATTTTTTTTTTATATGAGTGCAATAAAAATGCAAAGAAAATTTCCGGTTCCAATACAATCCAAGTATGATGGAACCAATTGCCAACAGTAAAGTGTTTTACGGACACTTCCTCAAATGCTCACCTTGATTGGGACAACAACTTCATAGAGGAGAATGGCATCCCTAACAGCATGATAAAATTCCACAGCGACTCTGGTGGATGACAAACAAACATCCTACAATCAGAATTACAAACTTTCAATACTATATGACCACGATCTCCATAGCCAAAATCACATCCCAGTTATTGTAAAAGGCATTTAGAAATATTTGTCAACAATCAGAGGTAACATATATCCAGAACAACCTGTCAAGGTATACTTTACCTAGTATCAAAATGAAATGATTATTTTTTTTTTCTTTTAAATAATGTCTTAAGTTTTTTTATTTTTTTATAGGAAACCATAACCATCCATTTATGTGATGAAATGGGACACAAAAGAAGATCCTATCAAGAAATAATTACAAGAAGCACCTCTATTAACTAAGTAAGCGTGTTGAGGCTATAATTACAAAAGGGAGAAGACAACTCGTTCCAAGTAATAGCTAAAAGTGAAGTAGAATCAATAACACTTCTTGTTCAGGAAGATGGAAGTGTTTCATTCCGACCAAAGGCTCCAACAGAAAGTACAAACATGGTTAAGTCAAAGGATCTTTTTGTCATATTTTAAAGGGTGCCCCAATAAAAGAAGATTAATGTTAGTATCAACCAGGCGAGGAAAGCTCCAACCAAAAACACCTTTTAAGAAATTCCAAAACTTGGTGGCAAAGGAACAGTTACTGAGGTGGATCATGTTTCACTGTGGCTGTAGCATATAGGGCAGCAGCTGGGGGATAAGTATAGCCATGGAGAAAGACATGAGAACTTATCAAAAGTATTAATGCAAGAGTGGCTAAGCTCCTATATAAAGAACTTCACCTTTTTTTGGATAACTACCAGCCCAAATATGTGAGCGATAGCTGCCTTCGATAATGATTTAGTTGAGAAAAACCACCCTTTTCCAAAGCCCAGTGCCAAGAGACTTCACAGGATGAATCATGAATGGGTGTAAAAGAGTGGATAAAGCGACCCATTCTTCCATCTCAGGCTCCATGAGATTTCATCAGAGATGAAGGATCCATGATATTGTATTGGAACACAAAAAATCCGCAATAGGTGCATCTTTCTTGCTCAATAAGTGATAAAGCCTAGAGAAGAGTTGTTGAAGATTAGAGTTCCCTGTTTAAACATCATTCCAAAACGATGTGGGGAGCCCCTCACCGGCCTTGACCAAAATATGCGCATACACCAAATGTTTCAAGTTATTTATGCGTTTCCATGGTCCGTAAGGGAAATGCATGGAATTGGATTCTGGTTTAAGGTCTCAAAGTGGATGAAACCACATTTGAAGGCAATAACCGGATGCCAAAGAGCCTCCTCCTTGTTGTGAAATCTTCAAATCCCTTTTGCCAAGAGGGAAGAATTTCGTTGTGTATACCAAAAATCCCGAGGCCTCCATCCTCCAGGGTGTCTTGTTAATAATGTCTTATGTTACTGCATGCTTAATTTCAATAATATTTTGCATGAAAGTTATACCTCCATGCTTAATTTTGTATCAGTTCATTCCATGAGGGCTTTCTCTAATAATGCTGAAATACATTTTCACTTCTCTACTCATCAGGAAGTGACGTTGAAGTCTAAACTACATTCCTACATGGACGTCTGTTTAATACAGTCTTAAGCCCTTCCAGCTATAAATTGAAATATCTCTATTCATTAGATGCCCCCAATTCTTCCCATTCCCATTTTACAACATATAGAATGCTCAGAAGATAACTGGATCATATTAAGATGTTCTAAATACGAACTTTAAAAAAAAACATCAAGTGTCCATAAACATAAATGAAAGTCATTTTTAAGTTTGTTATCAAAAGAAGTCATTTTTTAAGCATATGAGACAACCTGTAGTGTTTGATGACCTAGCTCCATCAGTTTTGCGGCAGCTTCAGACACCACGCATCTCTCAGATAGGAAAAGTAAATCGACAGTCTGATTTGAAGAACTTTTAGTTTCTTCATTGCCCTTTTTCTTACCGCCTTTGATTGTGAACTCCTGCATTCATATTTATCACATAAAACAGACCATACTACAATATTTATGAGGAATATTATCATGTTCTAAGAACTTACTTCAGGCACAGAAAAATCGCATTTTAGAAGCATATTTCTGGCCTTCGCCAAAATTTCTTTCCTCTTCCCAGAAGCAAAGTGAACCTCCACATTTTCAGCAAAAATACTCAGCTTTTCATCGTTTGCATCAGATGAAGAAATAAACATCATTTCCTTTAATGCACCCTCAAGCTTGGATGTACTTTCAACAATCTTCTGAAATCCAGCAAGCTTTGAAGCATCTTTTGGAACTACCTGAAAAAGGAAAAAAGATCGTAGAGTTTAGCTTAAGTCTAACTATTCTCTCTCTCTCTCTCTCTAACTTGAACCATCAGTCTCTGGCCTAAATATATTCTAATCATCTCCCGTAAATTTAAGTTTCTGCAGAATACAAATGATAAATCATGCCCAACCCACCGTATCCAAATTTACAATCCATATAATATTGCAAGGTTTCACATGAAAATTTTGTCTATCATAATTCCAACTACAATCAACAAACATGCATCACCATAAAAATTTTGAAACAGAAACACGAGATTCATCTTGCTTCATGTTGAAGAATTATAAGAACAAACCTTAGAAAGAAAACCAGATATAATCAATTCTGACATCCGAGGCCACGTTAATCTCCCAAAACGTTGTATCCAAGAACTATTTTGATAACATATGTGTCGGGAGATGAACTTAACAATCTGAGTTACCCCTGAGTATATGGTTTCACAATCAACGTTCTCAATCTGAAGATAATGAGAAAGACAAGTTAACTTTCTGAATAAACAAAGTAGCAAAAGTAAAAAAGTTTGAAGACATCAATTTGTATAATTAAGCAGAAGTCACTTTTTCTTCAACCAACCAACACTTGGAGAATAGAAGAATGAGAATCATTCACCCTTACTCGCACTAATAAATAAAGTAGTCAATTAATGAATTATGATCTCAGGTTTGTGGTAATTGCTCACAAAATCGAGAACCATTTCCGTCCTGGTAAAAAGAATATCATTTTATTCTCCCATCTTGTTGGGTCCAACAATTTTTTTTATCTTCCCTTCCTCTCTACTTCTTTTTTTCTTTTCTTTTTTTTTTTTTTGGGTTCCATTGCGACTGAAGTTTGATTCTCATTCCAAACATTATTGAACGATATCGAGGGCCATTCTCTCTCATTCATATTAAGAACATGAGGCTCACTGTACTTTTTCATCTACAAAAGTTTTGGTATAAGTTGATTGATTATATGTTTTCAAAATTATATTAATACACCTACAAAAGTAATTAGCTCTTGAATTCCACGAGCTATCTAGAATTAATTCTGTATGAAAAATTAAATTAAGGAATGAACACTTGGAAGATTATTAACCTTTTCAAGGGATGGCACTATCTTCAGGACTGCTGTACACTTTTCTTCAGCATCTTGATTTATTTCTTCCACATAAGATATTGGTGAGCCGCAAGTTAAGGCCGGAGAGAAAACAAACTTGATAATCAAATCAGCCACTTTGGCTAGGCCATAATCCAAAATACCAACAACCTGTCATGAATGCTTCCATTGCATTAAAGACTTTTATTACATCAAGATAAATGAATTCAAACATCGATACAAATTTTTTTTAAAAAAAAAAAAAAAAAAAAAAGCTCCAAATAGCTAGAGGGGGAAATTAGAATAGGAGGCTTCAATTGTTGACTTGATTAAAAATTATAATATATATCGATAACAGATTGCTATTCATGCAATGGAAAATGCCGAAAATTCGAAGAACTTAAAATGTGAATGATTAATGAAGGCTGATCGAATTCAGAAAAGTGCAAATCTGAAAAATCTCTAGCAAAAATAAGGGAGTAAAAGGGAGACGAGGCTTACATCCATTGCTTGCAAAACTGTGCGTAGCTCAATCCCATCAATTTCGCCTATATTTGACCAGTATTTCACTCGAATAGATTGCTGATCAAACTTTACTGCATGTTCCAGGATTTTCACAAGCAAGTCTTGAATCTATACATCCAAATTCAAAATCTCGAAAAGATAAAACAAATAATAATGTGAAAAAAAAAAACCACCGAAGATTTATATATATAAAAAAACCGCCAAATTCAAAACTGACCAAAAACGACTGACCTAAGAACATCTAATTCAAGTTCAAATACATCTTACTCTGACAAATTAACATAAGAATTGAAATCTATTCCGCTGTTGAAATCTGCACTATTAAGACTAGACGAAGATTGATAATAAACTCGAGGTCAATCCATTTTTTGAGCTGTTAGAATTCCAAGAAAACGAAACTGACATTTTAAATAATCAAAAGTTTCGAGGAAAGAACACAGTATCACAAAAGTTCAGGTCATTTCCAGTTTGTACACTTGCGGACAAAAATATGAAGTACAACTCTCATACATAAACATCTTCCAAATACCAAAGAAGTTTCCTCACCTCCTCAAAGCACTGGTACCACTCCCTTCTCAGTATCCCGTAAACCAAGGGCTCGCCATCTTTACAGTCGTCGTCATTGTGAATGTGTAGAGCAGTCTTGAGCTCTCTTACTTCCTCCGCTGCAAATTTGAGCATTCCTTTCCTTGTTGCTTCTCTAACACTCTTCAACCTGTCATCCATTTCCACAATTACCTTCACTAACTCCAACAATTCACTCTTCTCCCTCGCGCCCTTCGTCTTCTCCTTCATGTCATCGATAATCTCACGCATCTTGACCTCTATCGGGCGGTCAGTCGTCAACTCCAGCACATTCGACACGTCCTTGGAGATTTGGTGATACTGGCAAACTGCGTCATTGCAGAGGGAGAAGAGGTCCGAGAACTCTTGATGGTGAGAAAGTAAGTAATCGCGTATCTTAGTTTTGATCTGGAGAGAGTTGGACTCGAGGCGGTTGACAAGAAGGCGGAGATCGGGGGTGGAGAGAGGCGCCGTCGGATCGGAGAGGTCCTGAGTCGAGAGGAGCTCACGTATGTCAATCGAACCGAATAAGGCCTCCATGACTGAATCCGATAGATGTTGAAAGAAGCGATCGCCTGAAATGTGAAGAACTGTGCTTCCGGAAATGGATACAGTGACGGAGCTTGAATGGCATTTGGGAAATGGGGATGCGGATTGTGGAACTCTGGCCCGAGGAACAAAAGACTTGTAGTATCATTTAGTGATGACATGTCGGTTCAGACCGAACGACGTGTCGTAAAAAAATCCCTTTAATTCCCTAAATTATAAATAAATAAATAAAAACAAAACAAAACAAAAACCTCTGCTAGACCTTAGGTCCTTCCGTCCGATTGACCAAGTCAACCGGATCCGGGTTTAAGGTCATTGGCTTTTCATCACCGTAAACGTTTTCGCGGGAGGCAAACGCAGTTGCCGCGGCGGTGCTTTTCTGTGCCGTCAAATGCTATGGATGTACTGGAAAGGCTGCTCTGAACGACGGCGAATGATGCGGGGTTTTCTCAACAATATGAACAGGTACTTATCGACCTACAGAGTAGCCGCTAATGCCTTCGAGATGTCTGCAAAACATGGCGAATTGAGGGTTTTCATTGTCGCCGGAGAAGTCTCCGGCGACACCATCGCTTCTCGTCTCATGACATCTCTGAGAACGCTATCTCCTGTTCCTGTTCGTTTCTCCGGCGTCGGAGGGTAAGCTGTTGCTTTTTTGAAGTGTCCGAATCGCCTGTTCAAAGGGACATATTTCTGTTTATGGCTGAACCGACAAGCTATAGTCTAAGATTTCTGCGATTTTGGTCTCATCCGTGTTTTGAATACTGTCGGTTGTATGTTAACTTCCATTGATTTCGTTTTAGTGATAGTCTGTTTCTTTAACTACCATTGAAATATCACATGTTTTGTTACAGCTCCATGATGTCCAAGCAAGGATTGAAGTCTCTATTCCCCATGGAGGATATTGCAGTAATGGGAATATGGGAGCTATTTCCGCATCTAATGAAAATTAGAGTGAGTAGTTCAAAACATAATATACTGGTGTTCTACTGTCTCTTTTTAATGCAAGAGAAGAACAGAACCTTCCCCATAGTCATATGATACAACTGTTTGACAAGAAACGAGCTTCCCATCAAAGAAATGAAGAACACAAAAGTAAAAAGGGGAAGTAAGTTAAAAAAAATTATGAAAAAGCCACTTCAATTGATATTTTCATCATAAGAATCATGGAATTATGAAAGAGCTTGGAGATAACACACCCAGTAGTCCCAAGAATTCGACGGGATTCCAAAATCCACAATAGTTCGATGTGCCCCCTAAGCAACTATCTGTTCATGTTAGTAATGATAATGACTACTTTTTGATCTGTAAGATTGGTGTTATATGAATGTGATTTCCTCTGTGTCATGAGATTTGTGGATTGCCTGGTTTATATGGAAACTTTGGCAATGCCAGGAAAAGCTCAAGAGGACCGTTGAAGCTGCTATAGTGTTTCAACCTCATGTCGTTGTAACGGTGGACTCTAAAGGGTTCTCGTTCCGCCTCCTAAAGCAGATACGTGGTAATTTGCACCAGCATCTCATGGACTATTGAGTTTGTTACTTGCTTATACAATTAGAACCACATGTGAACACTGAGGTGGTTTTGCAGCTAGATATCGAAACGATAAATTGGCTTGTCCAGTACATTTCCATTACGTAGCACCGTCATTCTGGGCTTGGAAAGGGGGTGAAGAAAGGCTCAAAGGTCTTGTTGAATTTGTTGACCACATTTTATGCATACTTCCAAATGAAGCAGAAGTTTGTAAATCAAATGGATTGGCAGCAACCTTTGTGGGGCATCCCATTCTCGAGGATACGTTAGAACTCAATGCTGTAAGATATGTCTTAATCCTGATTAATGCAGTGTATAAATTCATCATCTTTGAATTCAATTCATGAAAAAGTAGGCTGCATCCGTTGTCGTTTATCTTACTCTAATTGACTCAGTTTAATGCAGCCACACTAATGCCCTGTGATTTTATGTAGGGGAAGGATGCCTCATTACTGGAGTTGAAAATACAGGGAAGTTGCAAAGATTTTCTAATTAAAAACGACATTCCTGCTGGTAAATATTGCTCGCTAAACTTTCCTTCAATGTAGATTTCTTGGCAGTATCTATGTGTTAAACACTTTTCCTCATTTTTTGAACCATGACAAGCTTGCAGTCTCATGATGTCCTATCATTAGTATTTTTCAAAATTTTGAACCTAGATTTCTTGAGCAAAACCTTAAAAGGGTGTTACTCGCTTTGTAACGCTATTGTCTTTTTATGTATAAATGATTTTGAGCAAAGTTTAGATATTTGTTAAAAGAAAAAGAAGCTTAAATCTGGATTTTGTATTGAATCAGTTAAAAATCCTTAGTGAGACATTTGAGGGAATTTTGTTTTTGAAGATGCAACAATCATTTCCCTGCTTCCTGGAAGTAGGTTACAGGAAGTCTGCAGAATGATTTCAATCTATGCAAGTACGTTGGAGTTACTGAAAGAATCCTTCCCGGAGCTGACAACAATCATCCACGTTGCTCCTAATGCTGATGTACAGGACCATATAAGTGGAGTCCTTCATAAGTGGCCTGTGCCTGCCGTATTGGTTGCAGGAGGATCACCTCAAGCAAAATATGATGCATTCAGTGTAAGTCCTTTCAGTCTACTCAATGTAACTAACATTAAAAGAAATTATTGGTTTTTGTTCTAGTACGCAAAGCAACTGTTATAGCCCAAGCTCACCGCTAGCAGATATTGTCCGCTTTTGCCCGTTACATATGGCCGTCAGCCTCACGATTTTAAATCGTGTCTACTAGAGAGAGGTTTCTACACCCTTATAAGAAAGGTTTTGTTCCCCTTTTCACAATCGATGTGGGATCTCATAATCCACCCCCCTTGGGAACTCAACGTCCTCGCTGGCACACCGAGTCTGGCTCTGATACCAATTGTCCGCTTTGGCCCGTTATGTATCACCGTCAGCCTCACAGTTTTAGCATCTACTAGGGAGAGGTTACCACACCTGTATAAGAAAGGTTTTGTTCCTTTCTCCAACCGAGGTGAGATCTCATAGCAACCGTTCCCATTTGTAACTCCTATTGTTGAAAATTTGAACCCAGATTCTTGGATATAGTGATTATGACGCCCATGCAATACCTCTTGCATTCTAGGAGATAAAATTGTTCAGGTTTGCTGTTACTGCTACGCGGTAGTGTCTTGCCTTGAGCCTTGTGAAAGTCGAAAGGTCAAATGGTTTTGAGGTAATGAAGTAAAATAGTGGTTAGAACTGGACCTTAAGAATATCCACGCCTGTACCCAGCAGCTACCGTAATCTGCAGACTTTTCTTTTTCCAAGCTCCTAGTCAAGCTTAATGCATAGATTTTTTAGCCGACTAACTATTGCTGCTATTAAAATCATAGATGGAAATTAAGTTCCTTCGATTGAGATTCAAGTCTCCATTCACGTTTATGTTTGTAGCAGGATTTTACTTTCTTTCTTCTTCCTTGTTTGATTTGATTATTTACTTTTCTGAACTATGAGGGCATGGCATGTATTTGGCTTAGTACTGTTACTCATAATGCCAGAACTTAACCACTCGAGCACTAATGAGATTGTTTTGCTTTGAAAGCTGTGACTCGTCAATAGGATGCAATCCTAATCTGAACTTTACATGCCTTGCAGGCAAGTAAGGTTGCATTATGTACTTCTGGTACAGTTGCTACGGAGTTGCAGCTTGCTCGGTTACCTTGTGTAGTTGCTTTCCGAGCTCATTTCTTAACTGAATGGTTGATTCAACGCAAAGCGAAAGTATCATACATCTCCCTTCCAAATATTCTCTTAAACTCACCTGTTATCCCAGAGGCACTGTTTCATGAATGCACTCCAGGAAGGCTACAGTCGATGCTCAAGTAACATGATTTTGCATTTTTCATTGCAAACTATCTTTTCCATTAAAGCACAAACATTATCTCATCATCTTAGCAGACGCCATAGGCTTGTATTTGGACTGGATATAACTACATATTGCTTGAATTGGTCCGTTTATCATTGCAGGGAATTGATACGTAACGACGGTCTACGCAACAAACAGATTGTCGCGGCCGAAGAGGTTCTTAAATTGCTGTGTCCTTCAAAAGAAAGTACGAAGATCTTAGCACGGGCGGGTTTAAAATGCACATCTTCATCTTCAATCTGCACACCCAGCATGATAGCGGCATCTACCATACTGTACTATGAAAGGACGCAGTAGGTGGGTTGGAATCAGCCAATTTTCCAGCAGTGAAAGGCTGATCAATAATCTTTTTATTGTGAACCATTCTTAATTCTTGGAATTGTTCGTTTGAGAAACATTTCAAATGACGATTGATAATTGTTGGATGATGAAAGTCCCACGTCAGCTAATTTAGGGAATGATTATTGGTTTATAATTAAGGAATATTATCTTCATCGGTGTGAGGCCTTTGGGAAAGCCCAAAGCAAAGCCATGGGAGTTTATGCTTAAAGTTGACAATATCATAACATTGTGGAGAGTCGTGTTCGTCTAACATGGTATTAGAGTCATATCCTAAACTTAGTTGTGTCAATAGATAGGTAAATTCTCAAATGTCGAACAAAGGACTCCAAAAGAAAAAGGAGTTGAGCATCTTTGAAGGCATAGTAAAATATGACTAAGACTCCAAAAGAAAAAGGAGTCGTGCTTCGATTAAGGAGAGGTGTACTTTGTTCGAGGGAAAGTGTTGGATGATGAAAGTCCTACATCGGCTAATTTAGAGAATGATCATTGGTTTATAATTAAGGAATATTATCTCCATTGGGGTGAGGCCGTGAATTCCAAAGCAAAGCCATAAGAGCTTATGCTCAAATGGACAATATCATACCATTATAGACTTTGTTTAACAATAATCAGACATGGATTCTCTTTCACCAAATGGTAAATGCTGAAGTGCCCAAACAAAAAGAAAAAATAAAATGATTAAAATAAGGAAATAATTAAGAAAAAAACAAATATATATATATATTTATTTATTTATTTATTTATTTATTGGGAGACAATATTCTATTGAAATTAGATATTCTATTTTGGTTCTTAAATTTTAGTCTTTCAACTAATAAATTGGTTTCATTTTGGCCCTAATTTTAAAAAAATA